GCAAATGAATGCTATTATTATTGACACAACTCTCGCAACGACAGCCACATTCCTGTCAATGAGACAATCATACCATACAATCAGATATTTATCGATATATCGATTTTATTGCAATGACAATCACTTTCAAATACGCTTTTATTTGATGATTGAAAAATTGCAATCAATTAGAGGTACCGTTAATTTGGGTTTCGGTGGACGAGAGAAGACAGTTATAAGACTCAAGTTATTAGAAGCGGATCCCTTGTCTGTGAACAGCATTTCTATTCACTATAATATGATATGTTTTGCAAACAAACCGACAAAACAATAGATTTTATGAATGAAATGACAGTAAATGAGTGATCAGTGGATTGGAGGTTAAGTTTAATAAACAGATGGTTCGCCCGTAACGGATGTATTGATTACAACATTTTCAATCAAATTATTAATTAAATGTAAAATTAAAATTAAAATTTCAATTCAACTATAGTTTAGTCGCAAAAAGTGAAAATCAATCGAAAGAGAGAGAGAAAGACAAACAGTGAGGGAGAGGGAGAGAGAGCTATAGGGAGAGCATTGGATGTACGCAAAGGCCAACACAATCGCACGAAAGTTGAGGTATAATATAAAATGAGCCAAAATTAGAGCATCCGATCAATTGAATGGGATGTGACTTCTGCTCATTCTTGTGGGCAAACCATTCAATGCATACCATTGACGCCTATGAGAGGACACACCGATGTGTGTGCGCTCTCCACACACTTATCCCATACCTATTCATTCACTTTTCATGACTATCCTAACAATTATGATATGCCATCACTTTAATTGTCTCAACACTTATCCCTATAATTAACATAACTTTCGTATAAATTAATAAAATGTAAAAATAAAGCCAAAGTTAAGCAAAAAATTTATCATTAATTTTGTCATCAAATAAAAGCTGTACTCCAAGTATACGTAATCATAAGACATGTCAAACACATGTCATTAGAGATTAATCTTATTATGTAATCAATGGTAGACCAGACCTGACAGACATTTGGTGGTGAATCCGACATCACTTGAGGGACAATACTATTAGGGATTCAAAGCTAATATTGAATCAATGGTTAAGACAAACATTACAATCAATTAGACTTACATTCAATGGTTGAATTGATTATGAAATGTATTTTAATAGATGTAATGATTTGTCAAAAATAGATGTTTGGATACAAAACAATGGCAAACGAGAGTTGAATACAAAAGTGATTTCTTATACATTCAGATGTATTGCTAGTATTTGAGACCAAAATATCGTGTATTTCGAGAAAATGTGTTCACAATTGAGGTCACAATTGAAATGAGTTCACAAACTAATGACCCTGCACATACAGTGTCTTTGACCACTAATACATACAAATGGCAATCAATATACAAAACACTACTAAACACTCATTTGTATACATTTGGCACTCAATTGGCTGTAAACGGGTCAATGTGTTGACCACTTATGTGTCAAACTTGCACTCAATTAATGACTTCCAACTCATTATTGTATTTATGAAGCAATTAAGCACTCATTCCGTCATTCAGTCATACATTTGAATCGTTTCGACGAAAACATTGCATATTTTGCTTTCATTTGACGCCAAACTCTTTTGCCATCTATTGATCCAATCGCTTATTATTAAGAATCCAAGTCTTGTCTTAACTTTTATTTTATAATCCCTATTATGCCATAAATTCATCTTTTATCAACTTTTTTATAACACTCACACCAATTAGAAAATAAATTTTTATTATAGTCTATTAGTGGTTAATTATAGGCCATACAACATAAGTCTTAAATGGCAGGCAATAGTAGCTCCCAATTGATTACTTTTATAAACTTATTCTTTAGTGTAAAGAATTACTTATTGTATTGCATTGAATTGTTCAATAAACTTAAATTACATCTCAATTTATTAATTTTATTTATAACATTAATTTTATATAAAATTGTTGTCAAATTACTAATAAACTACTATTAGTTATAATACCTTTTAACTGAAAAAAATCGTAATTTTGTTTTTTATTATCAATACATTTATCAACTAAAATATCATTAATGTTTTATTTATGAGTTTCATTGTATAATTAAGATTTATTATCAAATTAAAAGCATTTGAACAGATGTATAAAATATGAAACTTAAAGTAAGAATATAATGCAGTGTATAATTATTTTATAAGAAAAATTTGATGCAATATTCTTGTATAAATTTGAATAAATTTAATGTTAACATAAATATTTTGGCATAAAAATCAATAAAATTTAATTAATTTATATTAAAAGTTATGCTTAATAAAAATGTAATAGGGGTTTTTATAAACATATAACTCATAAAATAGTACATTATCTAATGTCATATCCATACAGTAATCCCGGTGCCCTTTTACTCTACGCTATTCTGTTTATTCAGTCTCTGGTACTGAAAGCTTTTTGCAAATATTTTTTTATGTCTTATCGATTTTGTATTATTCAATATTAAGTGATTTGAAATCCAATAGAAATATTAACTAGTAGTTAAATATTAAGGATTACATATTTAATACTATAATATGACATTCTGGTCACTCCGGGTTCCGACATCTCATTATTCACTCAAATTAAAGGCTAAAGTTATTTATAGTTACGGCTATTGTTTTCATTTACTTGGAGACATAAAGTGTTAAAACCTTTTATAGTGATATGAAATTGAGTTAATGTTTGAATGATGTTTTTATGTAACGATCAATACGGGTGTTGGGAGTCTGCGTTAGAATTGATAGCAAAAATGAGCAAACATTTCCGAGGCATCCAAACGTTGAGTACAATCAATACTCGACGCGAAACATAGTTACGATGAGATTATTGTGTATATTCTGTATATTCTGTATATTCTGTATATTCTGATGGGTGGAGGACTGGAGGACTGGCTCACGACCACTCTCTTCACATCTCCATAGCTGACGCTTTCTATGCGATACACTCTATGCCGAGAAAACTAATACACTTCACGATTATTGTCAAACTGTGCTCTAAATGCTCATTACATGCGCTCTACGGCTGTAGGCATATGAGTCAAATGGACAGTAGGGTTATCCTTACCATGAAATACAACTGTTTTCAATATTATTAACAATTATGATTAGTAGACCTCTTCTGATTCGCAAATGTCTAGTCGTAAGCGTTGTATTCATAGTCACTTGTGTTACACTTCATTTCAAAGGTAAACCATTTCTCTAATTCTTATCTCTATTCAATCAAATTTATATCTCATTTCATTATTCTGTTCAATATTTTAACTTTACTTACTCTCTATTACTTCTCTTTCTCTCTCTCCTTTGCATTCATATTATTCATAACTTTTGAATACTTTACAATGTATTATAAATCTCTATAAAATATATTAAAATAACATTTTATCAACAATTCTTTACAAAACTTCTGCTGAAGTCGGAAATTTTTCTTTAATTTTATATATCATTTACATTACATTTCGTAATAACACTGTGTTTTTCGTTGAGTTTATGCTATATCTCAGGGGATATTTTTGCTCAAAAAGGAAACAATATTTAGGAGTTTTTATTGTTTGCCATCCACTTCTGTTTCATCCACTTTTCTTAACTCAGCGTTTTGTTGAACTTAAATTTAGAAAATATTATGCTCCAGGAAATTGAGTTTGTTTTAAGTAATAAAACATCTGAAAAATATTTTTCGATAATGAAATGAATTAGAAACTTAATTATTTAGATACAACTCATGAATTCTAAATATTAGGTAAAGTAATCAGACCTCACCATTACTACTTATAATACATTTATGGTGTACTTCTGTATGTACTCCATAATCCATTAACGGTTTTAATGGGTATAATAATATGTTAATGTACGAAAGCAGTATTAATACGTTAATCATTTATTCAATATATTCTCAATCATTCAATGACACTCAAATTTAATTATAAATAAAATTTTAATTACATTACAAATGTTATTTTAAGGGAAAATTACTTCAGATTTTGTTTATGTTAATATTTTATGGGATACTGTATTATATCATATTATTCTTGTATCAAATGAATTATTTATGCATCGATTATCAATTTTGTGAGCTATAATCAGTAACAAAGACTATTTTATTAATTTGTCATATTTTCATATTTAAATGTTAAACTATCATATTGTATTTATCCATTTTTGAGAACACATTTTTCAAAACCCCTAATTTTATTGATCTTAAAATTAAAGATTCAAAACACAGATTCACAAATTCTTAACGATTTTCTAACTGCTATTTACAACAATTGCTGCCATTATGGAATTAACATAATTGATTTTTGAATACATTTCAGGACAATCACAACTAAACAATTCACTGCAAGAAATTCAATCACATAATAATGATAATCATTTTAAAGCTCGCAAACTATCTGAACACCAAAATAGCGATTCATTAAACAATCATAAATATGAGGAAAACAGTGAAACAATCAAAGACCAGCACTCGAAGAAGGAAACATCAAAACATATGTATAAATATTTCAACACAACAACTGTTGAAGAATAAGATCTCATTATAAATGAATTGTTTTTCTTATTCTGTGTCAGTCCTCATCATCAGATGACAACGAAGAAACCTCTAATCAACTTAATTAAGTCAAACCTCACCACTTGTACTAACCCAGCAATCAATGAATTCCCAACAGATGTGTTCAGTCAAAAGTCCCGATCCCGCGGAGCCATCGTTATTCATGTGGCGGTCGTCCTCTATATGTTCTACTGTTTGGCAATTGTTTGTGATCTCTATTTCCTACCATCACTTGAGGAGTGCTGTCAAGTAATGCTCAAACAATTTCCATAATTTATTAATATATTCATTCAAATGCTTTATTCTTATAGCGCCTTAACTTATCTGAAGACGTGGCGGGTATGAAGTTATTTAAATTATTATACTTTCAAAATACCTAAAATCAATGTATAACCCAGGTGCTACATTTATGGCGGCCGGTTCCAGTGCTCCTGAACTATTTACTGCTATATTAGGAGTATTCATCGCAAAAGGCGATGTGGGCACCGGTACTATTGTGGGCTCTGCCGTATTCAACATTTTGTTCGTAATAGGACTTTGCTCATTATATACCGGTATATTCATAATTTAATTTTATATTTAAACTTTATTTTAAAAATTTATTTTTAATAAATTTAATTAGCGTCTACTGAACTAAACTGGTGGCCAGTGGCCAGAGACTCGTCTTACTATACATTCACAGTCCTCGTCCTTATACTGGTCAGACATCTGACATAAAATAAATTATTTGTTTTATTATGCGATTACAAACATGTGTTTATTTTTACAATTATCGATAGTTTATATATGACGGCGAAGTGACAACATTTGAATCATTTGTTTTACTACTTCTTTATGGGGTTTACATCTTAATAATGAACTTCAATATTACAATCCGAGACTTTGTTCACCAGCAATGGGTTCAGTCGGGTCTCTCCCATACTGGCGATGAATTCGAGAATTTGAAAGCAAATTCTGGTGCCGTTCAGTACCACTCCTTTAAAGGTCTGTTTATATTATTGATTACAATTATTGTTGAATATTAAATTAGACTTTGTTGATTTGAATGAAGCATAATACTCTGACAGTGCTTATGTAGTATAACACAAAAACCATTATTTTTTATTAAGTTACAAAATAGAAATTGTTTAGAAAATTACAAACAAGTACCAAATTATTCTTGTTTTGTTCTTTAATAATATCTATACTTTAAAACTAAAATTATTTTTAAAAATTCTTATAAATACGGTATTTACAAACTAATGGATATAATTTATAAATTAAAAAATTTTCATCTAGTATATTAAAGTGTAGGATATAAGTAATTTACTTTATGTTTACTTTATAACTTTCGTATATAAGTAACTTTTGTATTTTTTTAATTTTCTTAATATTAACCAAAAATATATAGAAATGCACAAAAATATGAAATTTATTTTTTTAAATTCTTTTGAGAATTCTGTGCTAAAAATCTCATTAATTCAAAAAGCAGTTTCCTATTTATGATATATCAGTTTATTCTTGTTTATTAAATAAATAATGTGCATTGTACAGTACAGTACATGCAGTCCATATTAAATTAAATATTTTTGCAATTAAAATATTTAGATAGTAATGAAATAATACAGAACTTTTAAGTTAGAAAACACAATGAAATAAATATAGAGTAATATTACTTTGTAAAAGTTTATCAAATAACAAAGAATAATATAATTTTGGTGACAGTTGGAGGAAATGAAACCGGATTTGGTCAACGAATGGATGGATATAATAGACCACAAACCAGTTTATATGAAGCGGCAAACATTGTCATCATTAGACACAAGAGACTGTTCAGACCCATCACTAGGTTTGCAAAAAATTTAATTTATACAATTTGTAAAAATGCATTTTATTTATATAATTAATTATTTTGCACAGATTCCGATCAGCAGCTAATTTGATAATCATTCAGAGAGAAAAGGGTATTGAGAAAATATATGAAAATTTATTTTAAATTTCTATTTTTAACGTTTGTGATCAATTTGAAGCCAAATATCAAAGACAACTCCAATTACAACCACAACAACAAGAAGAACTCAATTTTGCCAAATCTTTTGATTCCGTACGAAAGCCATCCCTAGTTCCGGACCAACATTTCTGGAGGAGGGTTCCCAACCCAAGTGAGCCATTCCCACACAAATAAACGTTCATCTTTTATGATATTTATTTCAATCAATTATCTAAATGCAGACGTTGAAGGGTGGTATGAGTGCTGCAAATGGGGGGCCCGAGCGCCCCTCCATGCCATCTTATTCTATACTATTCCTGACTGTAAATCCAAACAACACCTATTTTTGGTCACATTCTTCATGAGTATAACGTGGACCGCAATCTTCTCATATGTCATGGTTTGGATGGTATGTATGATTTAAAAAGTTACTCAATTCATGTAATTATTATTAAATTATTTATAATATTCAAAACATATACGTTTCCTGAACTATAGGTCAGTTTAATTGGATTCACACTCGGAATACCCGACAGTATAATGGGAATCACTTTTCTTGCGGCCGGAACTTCGGTAATCATTTGAAAACTTGTTTTAATAAACATTTATAAATATGTTATGTTATTAGGTTCCCGACGCCTATGCCAGCTTACATGTGGCCAAAGCGGTTAGTTATTGTTAAGTTATTAAAATTTTCCATTTTATAAAGCTTTTTATTTGTGTGACCAGGGTCATGCAGATATGGCGGTAAGCAATTCTATTGGGAGCAATGTTTTTGACATTCTGGTTGGTCTGGCCCTACCCTGGTTTGTGGAAACAGCTATTGTTAACCCTGGTATTTATATTGTTGTGAATTCTTTATTCAAATATGTATTATATTATACATTGAATTTGTTTGTTTCAAATCTATTATCTCAATATTAGGCTCAATCTCATACATCAATAGTCGGGGACTTATTTACGCCATTATTCTTCTATTTCTGTCTCTTCTCGTAACAATATATCTCTTTCATCGCAATCATTGGACATTAAATCCTCAATTAGGTCTGAATTCATTCTCCATGAAAAGCTTACAGTAATCAATTGCATTATAATTTGTGAATAGGATATGCCTTATTGATAACGTATGCGATATTTTTGATTTTAAGCGGATTACTCGAATTTAATTTATTGGGTATTTCATTATATTACCGTATAATCATTTTAAAAAATTAAATTAAAACATTCATTTGTTTGATTAGGTTATGTGAACCCTCCCATGTGTGGCGAATAATCAATTACAGAATATTCTGGTTTAAATTGAGTGCAGATATTACGACAATATTCTGCTCACTGTTTGAGTTCTGTTTTGTGTAGACTCTGAAAGCAATCGTGAATTTGTGGCCAATTATACTGTATTTATGAGGTTATTGTAATCAATTATATCCATAATATGCGACAATCAGTTATACAGACGACATTGAAATCAATTCATTTGTCGTTTATATTTAATGCATAGCCTGTTATACACTATTCATAAAAAATGGTTTGTATTTAATTAACAATATATTGTTTGGTATTACAGTATTGTTATGTTTTGTTCACATCTTATATAAATGAGAGATACTTTTCATAAACTTTTTATTTCAAAACATTTTGAGATATAACTTAACATTGATATGACTTACAGTGCATATGAAATTCTGAGAAATTATCAAAATATTTCAACTAAAATGAATGTCATTAAAATAATGTAACAATTTGAACAGCAAATATAAAAAATTGTTTGTAATTTATTTCGTATAAATTTTATTTAACTTTAAACACTAAAAAATTCTAAAAAATATCAGATCTTAACAAACAAATATGGTCATAACTATGGAATTTAATTGTAGAATAGCTAAAAAATACAAGTATGAAAATTTATTGGTGAACTAACTTTATTTATAAGATTCAATTGTCTAAACGGTTAGAACAAGCCTTCAATGGTTTCAGTCTCAGGATCGATGTCTATGTCATAGAATGCAGGTCTGGTCGGAAGTCCCGGCATTGTTGTGATCTTAAATGGTATCAAATGTTAGCTAATTTTCAAACTTGATACATTATGTGAATTTCAAACCTCAGCGGCTAAGGGGTACAAAAATCCTGCGCCGATTGACGCTCTGATATCAGTGATAGGGAATGTAAAATCCTTTGGAACGCCTACAATATAGATACAATTAAATGGGCGTTTATTGTTACAAATGATAATTTAATTTTCAAACCTTTAAGATTAGGATCGTGGCTGAATGAGAGGTGGGTTTTAGCCACACAAACCGGTAAATGTTCACATCTTATATAAATGAGAGATACTTTTCATAAACTTTTTATTTCAAAACATTTTGAGATATAACTTAACATTGATATGACTTACAGTGCATATGAAATTCTGAGAAATTATCAAAATATTTGAACTAAAATGAATGTCATTAAAATAATGTAACAATTTGAACAGCAAATATAAAAATTGTTTGTAATTTATTTCGTATAAATTTTATTTAACTTTAAACACTAAAAAATTCTAAAAAATATCAGATCTTAACACAAAAATATGGTCATAACTATGGAATTTAATTGTAGAATAGCTAAAAAAATACAAGTATGAAAATTTATTGGTGAACTAACTTTATTTATAAGATTCAATTGTCTAAACGGTTAGAACAAGCCTTCAATGGTTTCAGTTTCAGGATCGATGTCTATGTCATAGAATGCAGGTCTGGTCGGAAGTCCCGGCATTGTTGTGATCTTAAATGGTATCAAATGTTAGCTAATTTTCAAACTTTATACATTATGTGAATTTCAAACCTCAGCGGCTAAGGGGTACAAAAATCCTGCGCCGATTGACGCTCTGATATCAGTGATAGGGAATGTAAAATCCTTCGGAACGCCTACAATATAGATACAATTAAATGGGCGTTTATTGTTACAAATGATAATTTAATTTTCAAACCTTTAAGATTAGGATCGTGGCTGAATGAGAGGTGGGTTTTAGCCACACAAACCGGTAAATTACCAAAACCAAGGGACTCATACAGCTAAAGACAATTGTGTTGAATTAAAATCTTTTTAAAATTGTTAACAATTTGTCATTTAAATTACTTTAATTTTGTCTTTTGCAAGCGAACTAAACTCAACTCCATTAGCGCCGTATATCTTTTGAGCAATGGTTTCAATCTTTTTCTGATTGATAGATAAAAAGATAAAATTATTAACAAGATATATAATAAGCTTAGCGATTCTTTACTTCAATTGAATCGTTCACATCATATGTAAACTTAGCGTTGGATGAGTTGGTGCTATCACTGGCTCTAACCACAGAATTGGCCAAATCTACGGCACCGTCTCCTCCCAGAGCCCAATGATCTGCAATACAGGCGTCAAAAGCGCCGCTTTCTTTGCATACTTTCTTCACGAGTTCCAACTCTTTATCGGAATCCGTCGAGAATTTATTAATAGCCACCACAACAGGGAAACCATACACTTTGGTTATGACATTAATGTGTGCCTTCAGGTTAGACAAGCCTTTCTCTAAAAGCTCTAAGTTCTGAAAAAGTAAAAAATAATCAAAGTATTTAATTAAAACCATTTTTAACTTACTTCTTCTCTGTATTCCTTGGGAATGGTAGCACCGGGAGTGACATTAGGTCCTCCCCCGTGCATCTTAAGGGCCCGGACTGTAGCCACCAGAACAGCACAATCGGGGAAAATGCCTTTTATGTAAATCACAAAATATAATACTGTATTTACATCATTTCTCCAAAGCTGCCATAATTACCTGAAGTTCTAGATTTAATGTTAACAAACTTTTCAAACCCAATATCAGCACCAAATCCACATTCAGTCACTATTTATGTTATAAATAGATATACTTGTTATCATGTGTGTGATTGGTAAAGACAAATAAAATCTCAAACATACAAACAAAACCCTTTTCTCCGACTAAATCCAAAGCAATTTTATCAGCAATTATTGATGAATTTCCATGAGCTATGTTAGCAAACGGGCCTGTCATTTTAAATAATAATACCGGTAGTAAAATTATAAAGTTGTAAATTATCAATTGTATACCGCAGTGAACAAAAACAGGAGTTCCTTCCAATGATTGCATCAGAGTAGGTTTAACCGCATCTAAATTTATACATTGCATATTTTGGAAGTAAATTATAGACTAAAAATAAATAATATTAAAATGTTTACCTTTAATAAGGACAGTGACAGCACCGGTAACACCTAGATCATCACAAGTAATAGGAACCGGCTTATCATCTCGAGAATAGGCCACTACTATGCGTCCGATGCGCTCTTTAGCATCGGCTAAGTTCTCGCAAAGCGCCAGAATTGCCATCAATTCACTCGCAACTGATATATCAAATTGTGTCTAAAAGTATTTAAATAAATCAAATTACTTACAAAACAACAATTTTCTAAATGATTTACTTTTCTGGTGATGCCTTTCTCAGTTGGCGCCTGGCCTATAGTTATTTGTCGCAAATACCTATCATTGACGTCCATAACCCGATTCCAAGTGATTGAATCAGGATTTATGTTGAGTCGAGCAAAGGCTCCCTTTTGTTCGGCCGTTAACTCATTTGGTGCTAAACTTGTAGGAATTGCCAGCTTTTCTAGTCTTCTCAGTTGTATCGGAGAAAAGACTCTCTTTTTGCCCGGCTTTAAGACCAACACTTGATTTAATATAACAATCGATGTGTGGTTAGAGCCATAAACTATACCTTTGAGGGCACTATTCTGTTGTACAAAGCAATGTCCGTTTGAGTCGATTCGTGGAATATTCTGGCGTCGATTGCGGCCGAAACCAAGTTATTGGCAGCAGTTATGGCGTGGATATCACCTTTCAGTGCATTTATATTCATTGAACTTATTTAGAAATTCTCACACAATAAATGCTTCATTATTTAAATACCAGTTAAGTGTAGATTAAATTCATCCATTGGAATAACCTGTGAGTATCCTCCACCGGCAGCACCACCTGAATCACTTAAATTAGCCACAAATGTAACAAGCTAAGTTTGTGTTTAAACCTTTAATGCCGAAAGTAGGACCCTGACTGGGCTGTCGTATGCATGTAATGACATTTCTGTGTAAATTAGCGCCCAATGCTTGAGATAAACCCAATACTGTTGTACTCTTTCCTGGATTCATATATTAATTATTGTTTTCTATTGTATTGAAATAAATATCCTATTTTTACAAACTATTATACCTTCTCCGAGAGGTGTGGGTGTGATTCCGGTGACCACAACATACTTTCCTCGGACAGAGTTTTTGTTGAACTGAGGAACAGGTTTAGAGATCTTTGCTTTGAATGCTCCGTACGGTTCGTATTCTCCGGAAGTCAAACCAATTTCAGCCGCTAATTGAGCGATGGGTTTACAGGGATGGGCCCGGGCTATGGCTATGTCGCTGTCCATTATGCATGAAATTTATTTACAGTATATGTTATGAAATTGTATTATAAGACAAACCTGGGAACGGGATTCAGTTTATTGAGTTTCAAGTACTCGATATCCCAGGACACACACGACCGAGTTCTCAATGCCTGAAATGCATTCAACTCTTAGTTATCTAATTCTTTAATTTGTTTTATCATTTCATATAAATTTTCTGCTTTCACTTTTTAAAATACATAATTTAAGCTTAAGTGAGAAGTTTTGTTGTTTCATTTACTGGTAAACACACTAATGTTTACGTATAAATTCTTTATCTAAACTCACATTCAAAATATAAGATTAACAGCAAATGGAACTTCAGTTTCTAAGCATAAATTGTCTCACTATCTTGATTTCTATAGGAAACCCTATTACTTAATAACTTTTATAAAGTAGCTATTTTGTAGAATTGATAA